AAGATTTAAATGCCGCTCAACATAAGTCTAAAAAGTAATTTTATGAATTGAGGAAAAAAAGTTGTAAAAGCTATGACAAGCTGGTCATCGTACTTTTAGCAGTAGGTATTCATTTTCCTTCTTGATAACAGTTACTAAATACTTATTTGTGCAGAAATTAAATTTGTATTCCCCTTACTTTACTATGCACTTAAACTTGGTGTATATTTAATATTTTTTTTTAATATTTCAAAACTGTTTCATTCCAACTCAAACACCTAAAAACGATTTATTTTTTTTTCATAAAAGGTTTCGGAGGATGGGAATGTCAGCATTTCGGTACTAAGCATCACACCGACACGTGAAGATCACGGCAAGGCGTTATCGTGTCGCGCTACAAATGAACTGGTGCGAAATGGCATACGTGAAACGGCTATGAAACTGAATGTTTTCTGTAAGTATACTTTTATTGTTTTACAAAAGCAATATTCTCCTTTCCTACAGCACATGCATACATACTATATAAAGAGTTCCTTTAACACTTATGAATAGAATAATATTTACAGCCGATTTCACCAGCAATTTAAATGGAAGTGATTTTTTATTTCCTGTCAATTTCCATATAAAATACAAAAAATTCAATTCATTTTTCGTTTAAATTGCTTTCGTGAAATTGGCTGTTAACAAATGAATGGATTTGGTGTATGAGTAAAAATGTAAACTATGTTTATTTGTTCAAAATATCGTAATATCTGGCTGTCCATCAAAATAGAGTAATGTGATCTATGACAAATTAAAGTCACTGTCTTCTTCTTCTTATTTGGCATTATAACCGTTTGTCGGTTTGGGCCGAGAACAGAAAAACTTCGCCAGTTGCCTCTCTCCTTTTTAGATTTACGCCAGCTGCTCATCCCAAGTGCTGACTGGTGCTTTTGTACTTGGTCCTTCTATTGTGTTCGTGGACGCCCTTGCTTCCGTTGTCTACCCATGGCTACGTAATCTATGGATCTTTTCAACGAAGCGTCGTCATCCATGCGTACAACATGTCCAAGTCAGCGCAACCGTTACATTTTTATGCGCTTAACCATGGCCATGTCGTTAAAAGGCTCCCTCAGTTCATCATTCCATCTTCTTCGGTACTCGTCTGCCACGCGAAAGTAGCCATAATCCTTGCGAAGAATAGTTCTCCCGAAAGCCGCTAAAGCCATCAAATCTTTGTTAGACATCGTCCATGTTTCTGCACTATATAAAAGGACGGACATCATGAGAAATTTGTATAGCGCGATTTTTTGTTCGTTAAAATAGGGATATGATTTTCAAATGCCTACCTAGCCCAAAGAAGCGCCTGTTGGCAAGAGTTATTATCCGCCAGACCAACCTCGTTAGCTTCTTTTTCTAAGCTTCAAAATGCTGCGCTAACTTCCTTGGGTTTCAAACAAATGGGGATACCAAATTTTAGGCATGGAATCCTTCGTGCTATCAAAAACAGCTTTAAAATGAACAAGAAGATAGTGTGTGTCCATTTGCATATCTGGTGTCTTTTCCAGAATTTGACGCGCTGTGAAAATCTGGTCAATGGTGGACTAACCACGTCTGAAGCCGCACTGATAAGACCCCATCAGTGGGTTCGTGAACAGGACCTTGTATGCAATATTAAGAAGGCTTATTCCGCGATAATTGTGGCAAATGGTGGGATCTCCCTTCTTGTAGATTGGGCAAATTACACTGAGATTCACATTTCCGGGCATGTATTTATCAGACAAAATTCTGCTTAATAGCTTGCACATGCGCCCCACCAGCTCTTCGCCGCCGGCTTTGAACAGCGCAGGGGGTATAACGTCGGCTCCGGGGGGCCTTGTTGTTTTCAAGCCGCCGTATTTCTGTTCTCACCTCATCCGGGTCAAGTTAAGGAACTTCAAGCCTATACACTCACCACTCAGAAGCTTTTGGAAGTGTTCCCCCCCACATCTCAGGTATACTCTGGACATCTGCTACCAGATTTCCATTTTCATCTTTGCAAGAGCTAGCCCCAGTTTTGAAACCATTTGATTGCTGCCTTATTTTGTGATAGAATTTTCGAACCGCATTCCTGTCTGCCAACATCTCAAGCACCTCGCATTCACGTCTTTCTGCCTCTGTTTTCTTTCTTTTCAATAGACGTCTCTTCTCCCTTCTCATCTCTACTGTTGCTCGCGTAGCTATTGGCTACAGGGTGGCTTTGTGTGCAACGTATTTCTCTGCAGAAGTTGTGCTGCAATCTTCGTCATACCGAGGCAATTTTCTCTTTGCATTAGTAGGCGTTTTTACGTGGTGGGTCCCGAATCCAGCACAAACCCATTACTGGAATGAATGGCTTTTCAACCGGATACACGTTTATATAGCGAACCACTTGCTGCAAGACAGACGGCCGCTTGCCGCCGCACCTGCTGATGAACAGATGCTGCAGATTTCGGTGAGCCCTTAAACCGACTAAGTCGTAGTGGCCCCACCGAAGCTTCCTATCTTTCTGCCGTGACCCAAGGCTTCACTCAGGTTGGTAAGCGCATCTCGCACATGGGTAGCTCACATTGCGCAGAGTGCGCGAACGGGCACGCAAGAGTCGAGATTGAGTATAGCCGTGCAACTTTAACTGCATACCCAGAAGAACGGCTATACCCCATTGCACTCCGCTGTCATCTAAGCTTGTTTAGTTACAGCATAGACATTGGTCTAGAAAATTCCGCAGTAGCTTGTAGGTTTTTTTATATCCAACTGCTTATAGTAGCCATTAGAGTAGCCGACTTGCAAGGCGAGGCTAAGAAGGGTGCTAGCTGCGAAATCTTCATTTATAAAAAAATCCTTGAAATTTTTGGCATTCGTGTGCAGAACTGATTCTACTCACCTACTCTTATAGTAAGCGCCCCTAAAGATAAACAGCCTACCTAGGTATGCTTTTTTCAGTTAGTAGCTTTACTAGCTCTAAAAAAGGTTAAAATTTAATAGTGGAGAGGTAATTGGCCTTAAATAGCCAAATCTTTACTATAAATGTATGCAAAAAGTTCATAGCCAATTTCATAGACTTCAGGGAGTAACTTAAATTTGATAACTTTAAGCAAGGTAATAGCAACATCCACCCCATTCCCAATGAGCCCGGTAAGCGGTTACTGTATAAACTATTTCTGAACTGCCTTCCAGAACGTCAATCACGGTGCCTTCCTGATAAAATTAGAAACAAATATTTCGAAAAGCTTCCAGCAAACACAACATTTACGCTAATGACATATTTATGCTAAAAAAATAATATTATGTCTCCTTAAGCTTTAGTTAGTTGCTAAAATATTGACTCAAAGGCACGCTTACGCACACTTGTGTACACAAGCTTGCGCCTTCCAAATTCATATACATACATATGTACATGTGTATGCATACTTGCACATACATACATATATGTATTATATGCTTGCAGAGATGATTTTGAAGCACTCAACTTGATTGGCTATAAAATGCATTGTTATAGCGCACCATCGGCGTTGTCTCTTTTTCAATTTAAAGGTCTGCAAGCAAAACAAAAGAAAAATGCGGAAATGTGAAGCAAAAGCTATAACAAAGTAACATGTATTAAAAAAAATAAAAAAAAAATTAGGAAATTTTTACGCTTTACAAGCTTTGTTACAGTAAAGATGGTAAAGATCTAGTGAAGTGAAGATTTTTTGATATGCACAAGTACGCTATTGGCACATAGTATGTGAGCTTTTCAAAGTTTACGCGGCAGCAAAAGTGCTTGGAGATACATATATACAGGATGTGAAAAAATGACAGCATTTTGTATATGTATACGTTTCGGCAAGCATAGTCGATACAAAATGTTTCTTTTCGTAGCAAATTTAACAAAGCAAAAACTTTGAGTTTATTCAAGCACCCTGTATCAGTTTACATATTGCTAATAACTATAAAATGTATGCTCTTGCTATTTTCGCATCCATACGCACATACACACATACACGTACATACAAATTTGTTCAAAGTGTTATGAAGCCATAACATCAAATAAGCGGCAGGAAAATTTAGAAAAAGCAACACGAAATTATGTATCAGCGGCAAATTCCTTTCGATCTAACTATGCATGCCTTTCGCGGCTTACAACTTCGATATTTTCTTGGATAATATCGCTGCTTTTATTATAGCATACTTTTCAGCGCTTTGACACTTAATTTTTGTATAAGCGATATATGTACCCTTTGGCTGTCACCAAATGCCGATGAGTGCATGCTGTTTTTGGGTAGATGGATCTACCCAGCAGTGGAAGGGAAAACTACATAGAGGATATGCTAGTGGATTAACTGGTATAAACTGATGCAAAGACTGATTAGTTCGTTAATTTCTGTCAGCAGATGAGGGCAAATATGGCTAACAGGCCTAACCGGTGTTTCGTAAGACAAATGAAAGACAGTTGTCAAGAGAGTTCGAAAGACTTTTGTTATTCTAGCACAAGATTCTTAGAAAAAAAGCTCTCTCACTTACCACTCGTGGTGAAAAGCATCATTTAGCTCGCATCACTCCAACAGTCGCAATGGCTGAGTGAGCAGAGCCGTACCGTTCAAAAGAGCTGAGTTCGTGTCTCGGGCGGCGGATTTTTTTTTCTTTTTTTTTTAATTAAAATTTTTTCTTTTTCAATTAGCTGAGAATACGAAGTTTTATTTAAATTTCATTTAATTAAAAGAAAAAATATTTATTTCAGCTATATTTGTTTTTTTTTTATTTAATTTTTTTATTTTCCTATTACTTTTGATTGTTTTAAAAAGAAAAATATGCATACAGTTTTTTAATTAAAAAAGGACTTATTGCTAAAAAGCGAACAGTATAGAACTAAGACCTTCTCGTTAGCAGATCTTTCAATTACTCTTTCGAAAGACAGAAAAGTACATGCAATATAGTACCAGAACTGACAAGTATCAGGGCCAAAGGATTTTCTCTTTCAAAAGACCGTGGTGAGTTGAAGAACAGTAGCCAGAATTTCCCTGTTACAGGTCTATTATGCACTGGTCACCAAAATTTTGTCACCCGTCAATAAAGTTCCTGTCAATTTTGAAACTCTTTTCGCTTTCTGTGCACTTCTTGCAACCGGTAAATTTGGTTACCCTTCCATAAGTTGGCAACGAAAATTGCTCCGCGGATTGGCGTGATTTTAAAATATATCGCTGTCGGCTGGAAGGATGCTGAAGAATAGGCTACCAGTTGACACTTCCTTGGCACGTCCATATAAAAAATACGCTTATAACACTGAAAACATATCACTGGAACTCATTAAGCTCCAAATGAAACTGGTAATAAACCGGTACAGAATTAGTACCTTCCACTGCAGGTTATTCATATACATACTTATATGTTTATATATAAGCACGACTGTATGTACATCCATGCATAATTTCGCATTTGTGTTTGTATTTCTGTTCATTTGTGCATACAACGCCGGCATGTGATAGCGCGTGCTCGTCTGCTCGCCTCGCCTCGTCTTCGAAGATGTTAAATTAGATAACATTTTCAATTTCCTTGCTCATTTACATGAACATTTTGCCTTTTGCAAGCTCATTTCGCAGGTCTTTGTAAGAAGAAAAGACACACAGGAATAAATGAAAGAAAACGGAAATCAGTAGCAGACATCTGTGGTGATGTGCGTTTATTGAAAAGCATATGCGTGCAAACTTTAAAACCGTAAGTTAAAAATAATACCCGTGCTCAGAGATTGTTTTTCGTAAAGAAGAAACAGTTTTTATTGACAAAAAAAAACCAATCAGTGATAGTTATGTA